GAAAAAAAAAAATTTCACCTGTGAACAAGCAATTACAACTTTATGCATACATTTAAGGAGAATGTCCATGTCAATCCTAGTTCAATAATGACAGAACTGCAAGGAGAAGGTTTACCCAGACTACTTGTGCCAGGGCCTGCCCATCAACCTCCCCCGGCTGCTCCCTTCCTTAAGCAGACTCTGGCCCATCCACAAGTCAGAAGTGCCTGCTGTAGTTGTGAGCCACATCTAGATCCATTCCAAAAAGACACTGGACGCAACAGAATGAACGCATCATCTTTCCTCCCTCGCCCCCTCTGACTCTATTGCTGGTCCAGTTGCTGCTGGAAACTGTTCTCTCTTCTCACCTCCCACCTCCTGGAGGTCCTCCCCCTCCTGTTCTTTCTGGCACTTCTTCCCCATCTTCTTTCCATCACCTTACTCAGGTCCTCGTGATTTCTCACCTGAGCCTCCTGACTGGCCTCTATGTCTCTGTACTTGTGGAAACCAAATCTTCACACCTCTCCCATGTTTAAAACGCTCTATGGGCCCCTTATCCCTCCAAGATAAAGTCCAGATCCTTATGCTGAGCCACAGGGCCCTTCATAGTCCTGCCTGTCAATTCAGTTCAGCTCAGCAAAACAGCCCCCAGTGCCTTCCATGTGCTGGGCCATGCCAGACACCTAAAACCAAAGGACTCCGCTCACAGGTTACAGAGGGGTAAACACGCAGTTGATGCAGAGTGATGGACTCAGCAGACCACAGGAGGCCTGGAGACTCAGCCACTTGGTGGCAGCCCCTGCAGGGAGTGAGGGAGGGACCAGGGCTACAGGCAAATCTCCAGTTCCACGTCCAGGGCTCTTTCCACTGCTCAGTGTAGCCTGGCAACCAGATGTGTGTCTTGCCCAATACGAGGAACCAAAACACAGCAAAAAGGGAAGACATGAGATGATCCATGACTAAAATATAAATTAAGTACTAAAATGCAAACCCCATGAAAGTTACTACAGAGATGCTAAATCACAGTGAAACAGAAACATTTAAATATTTCACATATAAGATGGAAACAGAGAGATGGATCACACTCAAGCTTAGCCCTGATGAAAGCACATCACTCATGTTGGTCAAGTGACACAGAACTGAGATGACAACTTACTTGCAGATGCTAAGAGTGCCACTTGGGCAGGGACGACATGAGTACTTTTTACTCTGGTATCTAAGAAAAACTTAAAAGAAGATTACTTTAAAAATCTAATGAATAAAACACACAGGCTAAAGACTTGAATTTATTTCAAAGAGCCAACAAACTAAATTGGAGAAGCCATGAAGTGATTTCTAAGAGAATTCCAAAAGGAGATTAGGAGGATATCATCTCAAAAATCAGGCAGAGAACCTCACAGGGAAAGCAGAACACAAGAGATCATCTAGTATATTCTCTGTCCTTGGGGAACAGCATGGTTTTCAATCTGAGAGAGATGCGGTCTATGCCTGTAGGACCATGTTTTTAAACTGCAGGCTGAGAGCAGGTCAAGACAGCAATTGAGTGGGTCATGACCGTCAATTTCTTTCTAAAAGAAAGAGAATAGAATCTAGTAGAAAATACGAGGTTGCATTTCACATAGCAGGATTAAGTACTGGGTTTATGTATAATTGTGTATGTGCACATGGGTATATCAGTTCACAATACAATATGCATTGAGTTGCAATCAAGAAAGCTTGAAAAACACTCTTCTAGAAAACTTCTATTAGAGAGGGTTTTATTTTTAACACATACTAAACACATTCAGTTGAATCCTGACCCTTTTCCTTGTTCTTGGAGTCTGTGCTAAAATTAAACAGAGAATGGGGGTGGAATATCAGAACTGGAAGGAGGAAGCAAATTAGCAGAGCGTAAATGAAAGAACTGATAACAAGAGGCCAGAGACCAAAGGAATGAGATGGATGAGTTCTGGGTTTTTTCCGAAAGCCTCCTGCTTTTTGGTAACTAAGGATTCCTTGGCTATTCTCATTGGAGCACTGGTTACACAGTACTTTCTCAATAGTTACATGTCCCATAACCTCCAAGAAGCACCTGTATTCTCTCTATGGTAACAGTTATCAAGCAGTATGACTGGTGTCTTTTTAATAATATCCATCTCCACCACATGCAGCAGCTCCTTGAAGGCTGGACTCACATCTGTTCCACTGCTTCATCCCCACCTCTATGACAGCTGACCCAGTAAATTTCAGGTGGACTAAAGTGAAAGGCATCAAAGGACCATAAAGCTCTAGTTCTAATATCTACTGGATGCCAAACCCTCTTCACAAGAACAAACCGATTTCCGTCCATAGAGCTTAAGATATTCTAATTTGAGAAAAACAACAACAACAACAAACTCTGAATTTCCAAGGAGAAAACTGCTTGGGCTCGCGTATCTCTCGGCCCAGAGGTTGAGTTCACGCAAAGGACTTCTGCCATCCTTTTATAGAATAAGAGCTTCTTGAAATGTCAAAGATTCTTTAGGAAGTCAAGCTAGGACCTACTCTTTGGACTCAGTCTAGCTCCTGAAGATACCTGCTTTCTCCAATCTGGATAGTCTGAGGGCAACAACCATGTTGAATCTGAAGCTGCTGAGCCATTTCAGAGGTCCTATCCACATTGCTGCTGGAGCTGGCAGGATGCCCAGGAGGGCCCAAGGCAGAGGGCTGGCCTTGGAGGAGCAGTCGGTTGACCAGGGAAGTCCACAACGAACCAAGATCTGGTTGTGTGTGCTCAGCCGTGTCTGACTGTTTGCAGCCTCAGGGACTGTAGCCCACCAGGCTCCTCTGTCCACGGGATTCTTCAGGCAAGAATACTGGAGCGGGTTGCCATTTCCCACTCCAGGGGATCTTCCCAACCCGGGGATTGAATCCCCGTCTCTTATGTCTCCTGCATTGGCAGGTAGATTCTTTACCCCTGTGCCATCTGGGAAGCCCAAGCTCTGGTTGCTTCCCCACAAGAGGCCCAGGCTGAGGGGAAATGAGATGGAGCTGGGAAGTAATCATTTGCCTTCCTCACCCTTTGCAGCTCTCCCTACCTCCATGCCTAGGTGGCCAAATCCAACCCCCAATAGTGCAGCGGTTTAGCTCTGGGTGCAGGTGGGGGTTGACAAGGAAGCCCTGAGTATGAATATATAAGGGGAGTGGTACTGGTCTCCTTGGAAAGGTATATGGGAAGTTATCAGGGAGGGAAATGGGTGAAAGACACCCTACACCAAATGATCAACTCAAATTCAAATTCAAGAGAGAGCCCACTAGTGGCTAGTTACCCTTCTCAGCCAGGCAAACGTCCAGAGGGTTATCACGGAAGGAAAGTCCTCTTTACTGGGGACACTGATTAGTATTAAAAGTAGAGATAAATGCCTTCCCTGCAGCGATGGGGAATGGTTTAACCCTTTGTGTGTGCTGTCCGTTATGCACAATCAAATCTGACATCTCTGGGGATGAGGAAGGGAAGGGACAGAACAACTCTGCAGAGTTCAGTGGGTGTTAGCAATCTGAAACTTACTTGAACAAAGTTTCATCCTCCACCCCCTGCTGAATCTCTGTCTCAGTCTCCCTCCCACCATCTGCCAGCGTATGCTAAAGGAATACCGAGCATCTTACCCCGCTGCTGCTGCGTCGCTTCAGTCGTGTCCGACTCTGTGCGACCCCATAGACGGCAGCCCACCAGGCTCCCCCGTCCCTGGGATTCTCCCTGAGTGGAATGTAATCAAGAGGGCAAGTTGGCTCAGAGCCAGGGGAGAAAAGAGGCTGCATATCATGTACTCCCAAATCAAGCAGAAACAAAGTTCAGGCTTTAACAAAAAGTACTATCTATGTCTGGATACTTAGTTTGAATCTCAATTCTAATTCAGTTTAACAATCTCTCCCTGTCTCAGTTTCCTAAGAAAGTACACCCAAAGATTTAAAAAAAAAAAAAGTCCACAATGTGTAGCAATGTCTGGCAAATTGAATGAGCCAGCAAACTACATATGTTATCATTAGGACTGCAGTATTGCTCAATGGATCAGAGCCAAGGTTCTAGAATCTGAGGCACTCCAAGATGCTGACTCCATGGACCTCATCAACCCTGAGGTCCTAGGAAACTTCCCTAACCTCTCTGAGCTTTCACTGTCTCACCTACACAATGGTGATAATAAAATCACTTTATAGGGTTACTGTAAAGATGAACTGAGAATCTGTATGTGAGATGCCTGGTGCAGAAGAGATGACCATAAATGATGGGTATTATTACAATGGCTTGCCCCCTCGGTGAGGTAAACATGCCCCCACTAAAGAGGTGTTCTGCAGCTGCCAACGGCAACCGGAAGAATCTTTCCAAGGCCATGGATGCTCAAGTACCAAATACCCACACGTTCCCCCATGTTCCTGCTCCACCCCCCACACTCCCTATCACAGCGCATGGCACACCAGCTCCCCAACAGGTCCTGCAGTCCTCATTCATTGACTTCCTTCTCCCCACAGCCAATCCATCATCAGGTGCTGCTGATTCTGTGTCTTAAATATGTCAGCCCCATTTGCTCCTCTGCATCTACCCAGCACAAGAAATGGTCCAGAACACCACCAGTTTGCCCCTAGATAACAAGTCTCCAGTCTCATCTCTCTACCCCCGCCTTCCCTCTTCAATTAACTCGGCAACTACAGTCATCTTTCTAAAGTGCAGATCTGATCATGCCTCTTCCTCGCTTGATGCCCTTCACAGCTCCTCAGTATAACATCCCAGTCCTTAATCTGGCTTCCAGAGCCTGACATAGCCTGCCTAGAGCTCAGCTCCCTTCCTGACCTCACCTCTCACCACGCCCCTCCTTGCTGTGTGTGTTCCAAGCCATCCCGAGTGCTGACAGTTGTACAAATGAATTGTGCTTGCTCTCTCTGCAGTGATTTCACACATGCCTTCCCCTCTGCTTAGAATACTCCTGTGTCCCTTCTCTTTTCTGTGCTAACTTGTGCTCAATTTTTAGGTTTCAACTTAGGTGTCATTTCTTCCAGGAAGCCACCCCTCAATACTTGAATTCTGGGCAGGTGTCCCTGCCACTATGTTCAAATGTCTGCTTATTGTTCACCTCCCCCAGCAGAGCTCCTAGAGAACAAAAAAATCCATTTTTGTCACTGAAGGATCCCGAGTGCTTCAAACATCGCCTGACACAAGACAGGGTCTCAGACATGTGTTTGTTGGATAGATGCCTGGATGCTGATCATTGGGCCAGCCCTGTGAAGCCATCTCTGGTTGAAGGCGGCAGTGAAGTCAAGCCAGGCACCACCAAGAGGCCTCCACCCAGCAAAGGGGGTACCTACCTAGAATGGCCACCACCTCGTCATCCTGGATCACCTCCAGGGAGCCCGAGACCACGAAGCACAGGCTGTCGACACTCTCCCCCGCGTGGTAGATGAGGTCCCCGGGGGCGCAGTGCACCGTCTGGAACTCCATGGCCAGCGCCCGCAGGCAGCCGTCGCTGGCCAGCCGGAAGGCCGGGTGCTCCTTGAACACCTTGCGGTTCAGGTGCACGCAGATGTCCGCTCTCATGTCCTTGGGGCAGATCTGCAGGACCTGGCCGGACACAGGGAGAAAAGGCGTCAGGATCCCTGCTGAGGCCTCCAGCTCGCTGCTCTCTCAGCTCCCCAGGGGCCGAAGTGACACCCACGGACTAGACCACACTCTTCAAGGCATCAGTGGACAAGACAGCCACAGTCCCTGTGGGAGACACAGGGACCCCCAAATCTGTGCAAAATGCTTAGGTCAGGGACTCGAGAGTCAAGGGGCTGGGAGTATGTGAGACCCTTTCGACAAGGAAATCCAGGAAGGCCTCCCTGAGGAGGTGACAGATACGGTGACATCTGCATGACGTGTCAGAGGGAGCCCTATGAAAGAATGTTCCAGCAGTCACAAAGGCTGTGAGAGGACCTGAGTAACAGCCCATGTGGACGAGGGGAAAGTTGGGGTGGGGGGGGTTCAGGAGGATGACAAGCTTGAGGATGTGGAGACTTACATTTATGAAAAGACCTTGATTTTGATTCAGAGTGGGATGGGGACACATTGGGAGACTCTGAGCAGAGGAGGGACGGGGATTCCTCTATGTTTTAAGAGGATCATTGCAGCTCCAGGGTGGGGTTAGCGGGCCCTGACTGTCGGATGGCAGGAGTGGAGCCCAGGAGTTGGGTTAGCCCACTCCTGCAGGCCTCCGCTACCAGGGAGGGGACTGGGACTGCGATGTTTCCAGGGGAGCCAGGGAGAAGTAATCAAATCCCGAACATATTTTGAAGATACAGCTGACATGGTCTGCTGATGGACTGAGGTGGATTGATTTGAAGAGAGATATGAAGTGATATTTACTGAGCACTTCCTACGTGCCAGGCATTGCTAAGCACTTTGGAGTCATTCACTCATTTCATACTTGGCTACTGAACACCTTAGAGTATGCCAGGAATCATTCCAGGCTCTGAGGATGTAGGCAGAATAGAATGCCCTGCCTTTGTGTGACTTACTAGCGGGAGGGGACAAATAAAAAGCAAAATGAGTAAAATTCAGCAGTAAGTGCTGAGGAGAACAATGGAGAAGGCAAGCAGAGGGAAAGTCAGGAGAGGTGAGATTTTACGTTTTCAAGTCTTATGTGCACCAGCTAACTGAATGCTCACATAAACTCTCTGGTGTAGGTGCTATTATGGTACCATTTTACAGATGAGGAAACTGAGGCAAGGGGATGATCAATAAAGCGCCTGAAGTTGCGCAACCGGGAAATGGCAGAGCTGGACTCTCTGACTAGGCAGTCTCACTCCAGAGCCCAGTTTAGATACAAAGCACTTCCTATATGATACACCTGCCCAAAACAAACGGGCTTGCACTTTGGCTCTCAAGGAACTCAAGGCAAACTGGGAACTGTAAGGGGCCATGTGGGTCTCACCTCCCAAAGAAATAAAAACTTCTCAGTCTTTCCTACGGGGAAAAATATTTCTCTGGACTAAATTTTTGCAAGAAACCATTCATGGCCCCCTGACGTAGCAAGCATGAAGTAACACAAGAGGACAACTCCAAGTGGACTTTTCCAGAGAGAGCAGGAGTGTTCCTAAAATAACCCTTTCTCCCGTCCTAGCCTGTGAACCAAACTTGGGGCATAGAATCAAATGTGCTCAGTGAAGACATTTCCCGGCGGAGCTGGTTACTTCCCCACCCTTGCTTCTCCACCTCAGCACAATCCATCTGCCTGGGCTCCAGGAGCTCACCTCCATATCTGGAAGTCCCGGAGCCTCTTTCAAACCCAACTTAAATCTCACCTTGTCCGGGACCGCTCTGCTCCATCCACCCGCTCTGCATGGCCCTGAGCTCTGCACTGGAAAGGGGCGGTCCACCAGGTGGAATCTCAGTTCCTTCCTCTCCAAGCACCTTCACTGCTCTACGCTTCAGTTTGTTTTTATCCCTCTTTTTTATTTTTTAACTGGGGGAAGATTGCTTTACAATGTTGAGTTAGTTTCTGCTGCATGTGTGTGTGTTAAGTCGCTTCAGTCGTGTCCGACTCTGTGACCCCATGGACTGTAGCCTGCCAGGCTCCTCTGTCCATGGTATTCTCCAGGCCAGAATACTGGAGTGGGTTGCCATGCCCTCCTCCAGGGGATTTTCCCCACCCAGGAATCAAACCCACACCTCTTATGTCTCCTGCATTGGCAGGCCGGTTCTTTACCACTAGCGTCCACTGGGAAGCCAGTTTCTGCTGTACAGCAATGCACATCAGCCTGATTGCATGTACATTCCCTTCCCTACTGAGTCTCCCTCCCCTCCCCCGATCCCACACCTCTAGATCATCACAGAGTGCTCGGCTGGGCTCCCTGCGTTGTTTCTGATGTTAAAAACAACAACAACAAAAAACACCAAAAACCACACACACACTGCTAACATTGGGTTTCCCTGGTGGCTCAGTGGGTAAAGAATCTGTCTGCAGTGCAGGAGACCTGGGTTTGATCCCTGGGTCAGGAGGATCCCCTGGAAAATGAAATGGCAACCCATTCCAGTATTCTTGCCTGGAGAATTCCATGGACAGAGGAGCCTGCTGGGCTATGGTCCACGGGGTCTCAAAGAGTCGGATACGACTGAATGACTAACACTTTCACTTTCAACATTGCCTTATGAGGATTAAGGGCTTTCTTCATAGCTCAGTTGGTTGGTAAAGAATCTACCTGCAATGTGGTAGACCTGGGTTCGATCCCTGGGTTGGGAAGACTCCCTGAAGAAGGGAAAGGCTACCCACTCCAGCATGCTGGCCTGGAGAATTCCATGGACTGTATAGTCCATGGGGTTGCAAAGAATCAGACATGACTGAGCAACTTTCACTTTCACTATGAGGATTAAATGAACTTGTATCTACCAGTGCATCTGATATCCACACCTTGCGACACCTCGTGGGCCCAGCAGGCCACTCAATGAACGCAGGTCCCCTCTGTGTTGCTCTGCGGCGGCAGGATGCCAAGGCAGTGAGCATGCTCTCTGGGAGCGGGGCTGGAGGACTGACCCAGGCAGGGGAAGATCAGATGGCCAATGCTTAGGCAGAGTGCTCGTTAAGTAACTCCCCTCCTTCAGACTCATTAAAGCAAGACTCCTGGGGAAAGGCAGACTTAATTTGGATCCTCTCTCTCCGAGCAGAACACCAGGGAGTGGGAACACTAGCTTGTCATGTCGAAACTGTGTCCAGCGGTCTGAAACTAAGATTTGATCTCCAGGTGAGTTCACCTTTAAATACTTCCCTTCCCTCAGGCTGAGCTTTGCCGGCAGAGACATGGAGACAGCGTTTTATTTGTGGGCGCTGTTCCCAGAGCCATGGGAAAGCACGCGTGAGGAGGAGAGGGGACTGGAGCGGGGAAACGGCCGACCCTTGCAGCCACCAGCCCCCCATCGTCCTTGCGCTGGGTCTACACCGGCAGGGGCTCCTGAAAGCCTCTCTGAGGGAGGGTATCAGCTTGAGACCCTGCTGTCTTCCTGGGTTACCTGCCCTTCTGCTTGGTTTGAGCAGAGAAAATTCTTGCTGGTCTCTGAGGCCTCAGAAGCCCCGAGGTGATGCCATCATGGAGGTTCATGGAGCCTCCTCCCTGGGGGAAAAGGGGGTGGTGGGGGCAGGATGGATAAAGCACGGATGCGGGAACAGGCTTTAGGATGAAGCAGATCCGGACTCCTGGCTCCCACTTGTTCGAGTCATGTGAACCTGAATCTCTACTTTCCCCAAGTCTTCTTGTTCTAACTTGTGTCTAGAATTCTTTGGAAGATTCCATGCACTGCAGTGTCAAGACTTGGTTTAATGCCCGCCTGTGACTGGGCTCAGTGCACGAGGGCTCTCATTTCTGATGGTACCATCACAGCAGAGCTGCAGGTCAGCCTGAGGGATGCTTTTGAAGTTTTGGACGTCAGAGTCCAAAGGGTCTTAGAAGTTGGCCTTAGCCTTAAAAGTCATCTAGTTTCCATGTGTCACAGATAAGGAAACTGAAACTCAGAGGGACCCACGATGGTCTAAGATTCAAGGTCGTCAGCTAATTACTGTTAACGTCAAACTTGCCCAGCATTCCCACCCTTCCACTGCACACACATCCCCTAGACGCCCCAGTCATCACTGACCATCCCAGTCTGGAATGGAGGCGTCGGCAGGGAGACAGGGCCTTGGGACTGGCTCTCTCCCCAGCAGTTGCCTGCCAAGGAAGAGCAGCCAGCCCAGGCGGGGCTGGGTTCTGCCCTAGCTGCCACAATACTTCCTCTTCCATTTGGATCAGGGCCTAGGGAAAATCCCAGAGCCCTCCAGGGAGACAGCAGGCAGGGGAAGGGAGGAGCAGAGCTGATGAGTGCTGTCTCCCAGGGGCAGCCGCCCAGCCCAGCCTTGCAGTGAGGGCAGGGGAGGGCTTCTTTCCAGACAACCAGATTTACAAAGGCATCCTGGCCCCTGGGAAAAGGAGGCCCAGGGGTGAGCGATCCAAGTTCCTTTCTGCTCCATCAGCTGCCAGGCACCCACAGAACCTCCAGGGGCCGGGTTGAGACAGCAGAATAGAAAAACAGGAACAGTGGGACCAGTGGTGAGCAAAGCCAGAGGTGAAGTCCCTCCCAACCAGTGCCTGCCCGTCTGAGACAGGAAGGCACCTCCATCTGGACTCATCCTTCCTTCCAGTCTGTTTTACAGTTGTTGTTTTTTTAAAAGCAGTAGCAGGAAAAAGCACAAGCTTTGAAGTCAGACAAAACTGGGTTCAAATCCAGACTTTGCCATTCTCAACTCTGTGACCGGGGGCAATTAACAAAGTTAACTGGGCTGCTGGGTCCTGATACCTATTCCCTCTCCAGGGTAGCTGTGAAGCAGGAATGCAGGGCCAGAAGTGCAGTTAAGTATCTGCTCTTAATACAACTTTAAGATGTGGTAGCTGGTATATGGTATGGTTATTACTATTATTATAGCTGATATTCAACAAAATCAAAGTATCCTCCCTTTGAGGTTGGGATCAGTTAAATTTAGTTAGATTTTTCCATTTAAACTCTCTTCCATTTAAACTCAACTCTCAAGGGACCCTTCTAATGGAGAAGACCAGGAGTGTGAACAGCAGACTCCCAAGACACTGAACTTGGCTTTGAAGGTGTCATAAGGTATTTTTCAACAATATCATTCTGTTTGCCTCACTCTAACAAAGGAAGGAATCAGAATTCCCTGAGTACTTAGGAAATGGTGATTAAAGAGCGAAAAGCCATTCCAAAGACTTAAGAAGCAGAGAAAAACTAACCTAGGATTACAGCTTTGCTCAAAGAAAATATTACAAAGGAGATCATTCACAAATGATCATTCTCAAATATCTTTGTTCTTTCCAGTAGCATCAAATTTTCTTCAGTTTATTGGAAAGCACCTAGAATAATGCAACTTTTGGAGAATGGTAGGGATCTATTGCCATTTCCATTTCACAGGAACATCAGAAAAGAGCCTAAGGGATGCTGTGGTCAAATCAACTGCTTATTAAGTAAAAGCCCTTGGTCGGTACGTCCCAGACTTGTCTAGTGAACAGGACCCTTGTTCAAAATGCAGATTTTCAGTCTCCATCCTACCTCATTCCTCCTCACAAAATTCTGATTCCAAAGGTCTAGGATGATGCCTGGAAACCCGTTTTTAATGGCCACATCCTGGGAGTCCCATCAGGGCCAAGACTAGAGTATAAGCAATAGCCTTGGACACAAAATTTAATGAGATGTTAAAAACTCAGTCATCACAACAAATCATGGGTGAGTCTCTCAGTCATGTTCCACTCTGCCACCCCATGGACTGTAGTCCGCCAGGTTCGTCTGTCCATGGGATTTCTGAGAAAAGAATACTGGAGTGGGTTGCCATGCCCTTCTCTAGGGAATCTTCCCAACCCAGGGATCGAACCTGGGTCACCTCCATTGCAGGCAGATTCTTAACCGTCTGAGCCACCAGGGAAACCCCCAAACAAATCACAGTGTAGTGCAATAGTCTGGAAATCAAGTCACGCAATGAACAACGTATCAAAAATCTGAATCGGAAACTTTGAACAGACAGTGGACTTGCAGCAGAGATATGTCACCTTGGGGCCTGAGGTGAAAGGAAAATCAGTAATACTGGTCATCTCAGCCTGGGGGGGCCCCGATTCCTACCAGCATTATCAGCTGATAAAGGAAGTCCTGCCCTGGACAGACTGCTAGTCCATTTCCTCTTCAGGAGATACTGATACAATCTGCCTCCAGTTTGTAAAATAATCTCTCTTAATTGCTGGTCCTTCAGAAAGGTTGATGGGCAAGCAATCAACGTTTCTGGAGGTGGGACCTGGGATTCTGAAACTACACCCAGATGAGGTCAGATGCACAGCCAGCTATGAGAAGCATCCGTCCGAGGTGAGGCTCAGGCACCCCTGGGAAAGCTGAGGGATGAGCGGTTTACCTGAGCCCATTGCCTCCTTACCTTCTCCGTGTCAATGCCTCTGGACATGGACCAGGTGGACACGATGTAATCCATGACGCGCTCACTCAGTCCCTTGGGGACCTGGTAGAGCTTCAGGAAGTCCCGGACACTGTTGAGCATCTCATGGTACCTGTTGGTGTTGGCGTACATCTGTTGGAAAATGGTCGTCACGTTCCCAAAGATGGTGGCATAGAGGAGGGCTAGCGGCAAGAGGGAGAGAAAAAAAAAACACACACATGAGTGGTCCCTGAATAGGACCCAAGAAAGCCAAACTTGCCCAAAGTGGGCCAGTGGCCAGAGTGGCCTGCTCCAGAGCAGACGGTCCTGACCTTCTCAGGAGAAGCTCAGCCCAGGAGACTCTGGGGTTGGACCCAGAGAAAGAGTCTCCAAATATCAGGCCACTAGGAGAGATCTATGGGAGGCAGAGAGAGGGTGAAGGGAGTTGGCATGACTGGGGCCAGAACCAGGATACAGAGAGCAGTGTGGGCGGGTGACAGGACAGTTGAACTGCTTCACATATACTTCTTGTCACAACAAGTTTGAGCCACACCTGAAGCCACCAGTTGAATGTGTTCTTATATGCTCTGTATCTGCCCAAATCCAAGGATTGAAGTTGCTCAGTAGTGTCTGACTCTGTGACTCCATGGACTATAGCCTACCAGACTCCTCCATCCATGGGATTTTCCAGGCAAGAATACTGGAGTGGGTTGCCATTTCCTTCTCCAGGGTAACCCAAATCCAAACCTATCAGCAAATCATCTTTTTAAAAACTGTGCTGTCTGTCAACTACACTACCTGCCGGAGACAAGATGGGAGAATGCGTCACTCAGTCCTGGCTCTCACACAGCAAACAACACAGCAAAAAGACAGACTTTAAAAATGGAACCACAAACAATTAGATAATAGGAAGCTTGCTGAGAGCACTGAAGGATGTTAGATCTTTGTTTTATTGTTGAGGTGCGTGTTAACACAATACTCCACTGCACTGTGATGGGGGAAAAGCATGGCTTTGATATGAACAGAACAAAGTCAGGTCCCCTCTGAGATGTAACAAGCACATACTACGTGCTACTGCTGCTCCCCCTACGTAAGTGTCACGGAGGAGGACTATTATGTCATCCGAAAACCCCACATTCTACGTGTAACCTGTATCTGCCTTTGGATGCTAAGCTCAAGTGCTACCTCTTCCAGGAAGCCTCCCCAACACTCCTTCCCTCCGTCTGTCCCCATGAGGGTGACTATGAGACTCCCCAAGCATACAAATCAAACTCAGCTTATCATACAATTACATCCAGATAAACCCATCATAAGTTGAAAGTATCTTAAGTTAAAAATGCACTTATACATGTAACCTACCGACCATCATAGCTCAGCCTAATTACCTTAGACATGCTCAGAACACACACATTAGCTTACAGTTGGGCAATGTAATACAAAGTCTATTTTATAATAAAGTGTGAAATATCCTATGTAGTTTATTAAATATTGTAATGAAAGTGAAAAACAAGACGGTTGTTTCCCTTTATGATCGCATGGCCGACTAGGAGCTGCAGCTCCCTGCCACTTGCCTAGCATCACGAGAGAATCACTTTGTACATCACTAGCCCAGGAAAAGATCAAAATTCAAAATTGGAAGTACGGTTTCTGAAGGCATATTGATTTTGCACCATTGTAAAGCCGAAAAACCCCAAGTCAGAGATTCTGTATTTCTGTAGAGCTCGTGTTGTACACACCATTTTGCAATCGCATTCTTGCGTGCCTGTGCCTTTATAGGGCAGTCCTGCAGGCTGGACTCAGCTCTTCCTTGCCATTAAACCCTGGGAGCTAGTGCTACACTAGTGCCCAACAAATGTGTCTGTCACATTAGTGAATTACATATGTTTTTGCTATGGCTTATTTAAAAAAAAAGGAGTGACTGAAATACAATAAACTATACATGTTGAAGAATACAACTTGGTGAGTTCTGACACATATACACCCATGAAACAATTAGCACAATCAAGACAGTAACATATTCATCACCCCTAAAAATTTGGTCATGTCCACTTAAAATCCGCCGATCCTTCTATCCCCAAGAAACTGCTGACGCTTTCTGTAGACTAGCTTGCATTTTCAAATATTTTATATAAATGGAATTGCATTGTATATACTCTCTTTAAACACCATACAATACCTCCACTTAAAGTGTACAGTTCAACGGCTTTTAGTACATTGTTCGAGCTGTGCAATCATTACCACCATCTAACTTTAGTTCAGAATACTTTCATGCTTCGCCAAAGGAAAAACTGTTCCCATTATTAGTCATTCCTCATTTCCTCCCTAATCCCCTAGCCCTAGGCAACTGAAAATCTACTTTCTGTCCCTACAGATTTGCCTATTCAGGACATCTCATGCAAATTAAATAATGTATGTGGCCTCCTGTAACTATCTTCTTTGAGAAAAAACGTCTTCAAGATTCATCCACATTGCAGCACATATCAGTACTTCATTTCTTTTTATTGTTGACTAATGTTCTACGGGATGGATATTCCATATTTCGTTTATCCATTCATCAGTTCATAGGCATTGGGGCCTTTCTACTAATAAATAATGCTGCTATGAACACTTGTGTGCAAGCCTTTGTATAAACATGTTCTCGATTATTTTGGAGTAAAATTACTGTGTCATATGGTAATTACATTTAACAGTTTGAACCACTGCCAAACTATCTTCCAAAGTAGCTGCACCATTTTACATTTCCACTAGTGGTGTTTGTGGGTCACATATCTCCATATCCTTATCAACACTTGTTATCACCTGTCTTTTTGATTATTGCCATCCTAGTGAGCCTAAACTGCTATCTCTCTGAGGCTTTGGTTTGCATTTCTCACATGACTGATGATGTTAAACGTCTTTTCATGTGCTTAATGACCATTGGCATGTCTTCTTCGGAGAATGTCCACTCAAATCCTGTGCCCACTTTTCAACTGGACTTGTCTTATTATTACTGAGTTATAAGTTATTAATCTATTCTAGATATAAATCCTTTATCAGATATGATTTGCAAATACTTTCTTATATCACGTGGGTTGTCTTTTCACTTTCTTGATGGTATGGTTCGCAGCATTAAAGGTTTTAGTTTTGATGTTGTCTAATTTTTAATTTAGTTTTGATGTCTGTATTTTCTTCTGTCTCCTCTTTTGCCTGGCTTATTTCATTCAGCATAATTAGTCTGAGATTGATCCATGTTGTTGCATGTACCAATAATTTGTTTTATTAAGAAAAGAACTGTTACCTTAAAAATAAATATAAATTCACAGAAAGCTGTAAAGACAGTATAGAGAGATCTGTGTGTACCCTTCACCTAATTTCCTTGCTGGTTACAGCTTATACAACTGGAGGGTAATAGAAAAACTGAATGATTTACATTGTCATAAAGTATAGCTATAGTTCTGCATCATTTTATCATATGTGTACATTCCTGTGTACTGAGTTCCATGTTCAAAATACAGAACTCGTCCATCACCACAGCCATCTCTGTTTTGCTACCCCTTTATACTCACTCCCCCAGCAACCACTAATCTCTTCTCCCTTTTGATAATTACATCATTTCAAGAACATCATAGAAACAGGATCAGACAGTATGTGAGCTTCTGAGACTGATTTTTTTCACTGAGTAAAATGCCCCTCAGGTCCATCCACACTGTTGCGTGTATCAACAGTTCATTCCTCTCTGCTGATGAATATAACACATTGCACAGACACACCCCAATCGTTTCTTTTGAATAATCTTACTTGGGTTGACAGACTAAGGGAGGGAAAATGAAAGAAAGGCAGAGATGTAGACGGAAGGAAGGAAATCTTCAGTTAAATCTGTCTGGCAGCATTGGACACAGCTGCCTGGAAAACTGAAGACACAAATCTATCCAACAAGAATTGTAAATGAGGATGGGAAAGCATGCTGCCAGCTCTGGACAGGTGCCAGGAGTGGTGCCCATCTGAACAAAAGGAGCCAGATGGAAAGCAGAAGTCGTCCAACCTGAAGAATGTGGACACCAGCTCCTCTAAGCTCATAAATAACCTCAATCACCAGAGGGGTCACAGCTCTTCCAATCCAGTAATGCCACCGGGTGTGATCAAGGACAGTCTTGTTCCCAGAGACTCTGACTCTCACTCAACGAGCCTGCAGGGCAGTCCTGCCTCAGCTCGGCTCATGGTCCACCACGAACCAGAGGTCATCCATGCCGAGTACAGGTGCCTTTCTCAGAACGGCTGCCGAAAGTCAACTGAGTCTTGGAGCTTAAAAACAGAGTTACAGCAAATTAATACAATCAGAATAGCTCTCTTGTCCATGATCTGAGAACCAGGTGCAGATGTGAGAAACTGATGTGCTGGTCAGTTAAGGCAGTGATGCCCACTCCCTGCTTCTGAGGCATTATGGAAGGTTAAGGCTCCGCAGGAGGACCTTATTCAATTATTATTACTATTATGAAATATCATTATTATTAAAAATGGGTACTTCTCTCAATGTCCCTTCTCGAATTTTATGTGAAGTGGGGTTTGTTGTTGTTCAGTTGTGTCTGACTCTTTGCAACCCCATGGACTGAAGCATGCCAGGCTTCCTTGTCCTTCACTGTCTCCTGGAGTTTGCACAAACTCACATCCATTAAGTCGATGCCAACCAACCGTCTCACCCTCTGTCGCCCCCGTTTCCTCTTGCCCTCAATCTTTCCTAGTATCAGGGTCTTTTCCAATGAGTCGGCTCTTCACATCAAGAGTGGCCAAAGTATTAGAGCTTCAGAATCAATCCTTCCAGGGAATAAGGACTGATTTCCTTTAGAACTGACTGGTCTGATCTCCTTGCAGTCCAAGGGACTCTCAAGAGTCTTCTCCAGCACCACAGTTCAAAAGCATCAGTTCTTCGGTGCTCAGCCTTCTTTATGGTTCAACAGTTATACGGTTTGAACGTGTGTATTTTATTTACTGATGTCTATATATGAGGCATTATGCCCTTAAATACTCAAAATCCAGCTGGAAGGGGAGACCTGAATTGAGCTATGACTTGAACATATGTTTGAATGAGATGTGGGGAGGACGAGAGGGAGACTGTGATGTCACTGTTGTGGCCGAACTCCACAGGGTGGAGAGCGCCCTGGGTGACTCTCCGAGTGGATCAGTTGTGTCCTCCCAAGATGGGAAAGAAGTAAGAGGGCCTTTCCCA